GTCAAACGGAACGGATTAATCAGGATCTGGAGACCACCCTGCGGTGTATGGCGGCCAGTAATCCCACGTCTTGGGCCACCTATATCATTTGGGCTGAATATGCCCACAACACCCTCCAGTCCTCAGCCATCGGATTGTCCCCCTTCGAATGCCAGTTCGGTTACAACCCTCCATTATTTCCAGAGGAGGAGGCGCAAGTTGGTGTTCCCTCGGCCCAGCGCTTTGTCCAACGCTGTAGGCGGACCTGGAAGAAGGCCAGGCGTGCCCTCCTTCGGACCTCCCAGAGATACCAAAGTCAGGCTAATCGCCACCGCCGGACGGCCCCTAGTTTCCGAGCTGGTCAGAGAGTTTGGTTGGCCACTAAGAACCTGCCCCTCCGGGTCGAGTCCAAGAAGCTTTCCCAGAGATACATCGGCCCTTTCCGCATTGCTAGAAAGGTTAACCCTGTGTCTTATCGTTTGGTTCTCCCTCGTTCCCTTAGAATTAACCCCACTTTCCATGTTTCACTTATTAAACCTGTCTTGTCTTCTCCCTTTGCCCCCCCACGCAGACCCCCGCCACCTCCCAGGATCATTGACGGCCAGCCAGCCTACACAGTCCGCCGGATACTGGACTCCCGGAGGGTCCAGAACTCTCTGCAGTATCTGGTGGACTGGGAGGGCTACGGGCCAGAGGAGCGCTCCTGGGTTCCAGCCAGGGACATCCTGGACCCAGGGTTGATCCGAGATTTTCGCACCCGGGGGCCAGGGTGTTCTGGAAGGAACGTCAGGAGTCGTTCCTAGAGGAGGGGGTCCTGTCAGCTTCCTGCTTCTCCTGTTTGTCTCCGGGCCTCTAGAGGTCAGCTGTGTTCCCCTCTGCCTTAGTTCTTCCTCGTGTGTCCTCATTAGTTTGATCCAGGTCACCTGTGCCTTGTTTTCCCTTTAGTATTTTAGCTGTGTGTTTTCCCCTTGTTTCTCACTTGGTTATTGCGTCCTGACTATGTGTCTCCTGCTTTGTCCCACCGTGTCTGTCCTAGTAAGCTGTTCGAAGTTATCTTTAGTTTGTTTTTCTCCCCTCGTGGAGTTGTTTTGTTTTGCCTCCTGTTTTGGAACATTAAATCAACTTACCTGGAGTATTGCCTTGGGTGTTTCATTTGGGTCCTACAACACCTCCTCTGTGGCTAAGGGGTAGTACCCCCAGCTTTCCACATCTGAGACCGGAGTTCTAGCCCGGCTTGTGACAGTAAGGATGGTCTTCATGGAGGCTGTAAGACCCTCCCTCCTCCTGGATATAGAAATTCTTCAACTTCACTGCCTATTCAATGGTAAGGTCCCTTGCACCATACGGACACTTGACATCCATCACTGCTGTGGTGCCCACCAGACCATCTGGTGAGGCACCCAGGATCCCAGACCCCGTGACCCAAAGTCCTGACTCCTGCACATCCATCCCTGTAGCCATTTTGAATGCATGCCTTGATGTTCTCCTCTTTGTTATCTGTGCCCCACTTTACAGACACCCCATCCAATGACTGTGATCTGAGGAACCTTTTTAGCAGCGACGGAGAAACGTGCTTGGCCCTAACCACTGCTCCAAATTGGCTGGCCGTCAACCTCCCTCTCCTGATGGTGTGCGAGTTGGGGTTGGTGCGCTGTCCAACTGTTGCCTGCCGTATAGCCCCCTGCTGCTCCACCGAGAGCGCCATGCCAGCCAGGATGCCTGCATGCCCCAGGTGCCCTTGTTTTTTAACAATGACCGGTACAGACAGGGAGGGTAGCAGTTGTTCTGGCTCAGGTTCAAGAAGACATGCCATTCCACTGAACATGCCCCGGAGACGGTTCCTTAGACATTGAAGATCCTTCTCTGTGGGCTCTCTGGACAGAAGGTTGTAGACTTCAGCCGGGTACAGGTCTTCCACTGACTCCACCTGGTTGGGCACGACTGGCCTCCTCCACTTGCATTCCACATCCATACAGCCAATATTGTGAACCGCAAAAATCGCCAATGCCGCCGCATGGCTACACTTATGAGCTCCACGGGGGCATTCGCATGTGGTAGGGAGAATCCCCTGGTCACCTATAGAGACCTGCCAAGAGGAAGGATGTTAAGTGCCACATGCCTTTCAATTCATGACTTTGAACACCTTGGAATGCATTTGTTGTAAGAAATGTTCTATATAAATAAAGTTTGATTTGATTGATGACATTACAGCTATAGAATATTTAATAAACTGTCATTTTCACGAGGACAAGTGCAGTTTTCCCATGAACTTTTAATTGATAACTTGGGATTTTATCACTTGACATATCAATTTGTAGATGCATCGACATTTTAACTTTATGTCCCCTTTTCCCAATGTTTTAGACATCATGCGGAACATAAGGCTCACCCCACAAGAAGCAGTGCATGATCAACGTCACCCGCAGCAAGGAGATCTTCTAGAAGTGATGTACTCTCACTCTGGGGGTAAGACATAATGTAAACATCACAGATATAAATTCCCACAGTTCCCATGATAAAATGCAATATGAATTGTGTTGTACTACTGAATGAAACTGAGGAGATGCACTCAGACCATTCTTTGTGATTGAACTTACGTTAACTACATTACTTTAGTTGGCTAATTTGAGCAAAACTTGAAGCCTATTGTTTGTGTATGATCTTCATTCATTGTTCACTTGTTTTTCAACAATGTCAGGTACAGGCAGGGATGACCGGGGCCTTTAGCAAGTAAGACACAGGGGGTAAGACATCATTTAAACATCACAGATATACATTCTCACTGTGCCCATGATAAAGTTAACGACATTACTTTAGTTGGCTGCTTTGAGCAAAATTTGCATGTAATATAACCTATTCTGGGAGCCTAGTTTGGGTGTGTATGAACTATGTGGAATATTTTTGGACCATTGGCTTCCCTGAAAAACGGCACTGACAGAAGGAGCAATAGGAGTCTGCCAGAGGTCGTCACACTGGATTGAGATGGTGATGGAGGCTTTGGTGGTTCACACAACGAAGAAGCAGGTGTCCCAGTGATGTGGAGTTGACCTTGGACCTGGTGACAGTAAGGATGGTCTTCACGGAGGCTGTAAGACCCTCCCTCCTTGATATAGAAATCCTTAGACTTCACTGCCTCTTCTATCAGTGGTGGGAACATCACATAATTATTAGCCGGTTCTGGCAATGGCATCACGGTAGCAAACTCCATTAGCTGTTAACAGCTAGCATATACACCAGGGATCATCAACTAGATTCAGCCGCCGGCCGATTTTCTTCTTGAGCGCATGGTCGGGGGGCCAGAACATATACTATATATACAAAAGTATGTGGACACCACTTCAAATTAGTGGATTCGGCTATTTCAGCCACACCCGTTGCTGACAGGTGTATAAAATCGAGCACACAACCATGCAATCGCCATAGACAAACATTGGCAGTAGAATTGCCTTACTGAAGAGCTCAGTGACTGTCAACGTGGCACCTTCAAAGGATGCCACGTTTCCAACAAGTCCGTTTGTAAAATTTCTGCCCTGCTGGAGCAGCACTGGTCAACTGTAAGTGCTGTTATTGTGAAGTGGAAAGTCTAGGAGCAACAACGGCTCAGCCGCGAAGTGGTAGGCCACACAAGCTCACAGAACGGGACCGCTGAAGCGCATAAAAATCTTCTGTCCTCGGTTGTAACACTCACTACCGAGTTCCAAACTGCCTCTGGAAGCAATGTCAGCACAATAACTGTTTGTCGGGAGCTTCATGAAATGGGTTTCCATGGCAGAGCAGCCACACACAAGCCTAAAATCACCATGTGCAACGTCAAGCGTTGGTTGGAGTGGTGTAAAGCTCGCCGCCATTGGTCTCTGGAGCAGTGGAAACGCGTTCTCTGGAGTGATGAATCACGCTTCACCATCTGGCAGTCCGAAAGGACAAATCTGGATTTGGCGGATGCCAGGAGAACGCTACCTACCCCAATGCGTAGTGCCAACTGTAAAGTTTGGTGGAGGAGGAGTAATGGTCTGGGGCTGTTTTTCATGGTTCGGGCTAGGCCCCTTAGTTCCAGTGAAGGGAAATCTTAATGCTAGATCATAATATGACATTCTAGACGATTCTGTGCTTCCAACTTTGTGGCAACAGTTTGGGGAAGGCCGTTTCCTGTTTCAGGATGACAACGCCCCCGTGCACAAAGCGAGGTCTATAGAAAAATGGTTTGTCGAGATCGGTGTGAAGAACTTGACTGGCCTGCACAGAGCCCTGACCTCAACCCTACCGAACACCTTTGGGATGAATTGGAACGCCGACTGCGAGCCAGGCCTAATAGCCCAACATCAGTGCCTGACCTCACTAATGCTCTTGTGGCTGAATGGAAGCAAGTCCCCGCAACAATGTTCCAACATCTAGTGGAAAGCCTTTCCAGAAGAGTGGAGGCTGTTATAGCAGCAAAAGGGGGACCAAATCCATATTAATGCCCTTGATTTTGGAATGAGATGTTCAACGAGCAGGTGTCCAAATACTTTTGGTCATGTAGTGTAATTACAAATAATTTGTAGACTGCAAATTGACACAAGAAGCCCTAACAGATATATTTGACAAAAACATAATAATTTCAAACCCTGCTTACATTTGTATACAATCACACATGTGTATCTATGTGTGGGAACAGTTGGGAATACTTGGAACTGATTTCCTGGTGTGTGTTTTTTTTGGGGGTGGGGGGGCTCAAATGAAACCCTGATATACACGTTTTAATTCCATTGTACACTAACCCCTTCCCCTTCTGTATTTTAGTAAATAGGTTTTACTTACCTTTTCTTAATATCGGAGGTTGTCAGACACCATGCACATTATTTCAGCCAATGGATTGTCCAATTATGTGCACCGGATATGGGCTGCAACTTACAGTCCAACTTTTCATTTGACCACACTGACAATAGGTACCTGTCACTCATTGTCTACACAACATTTCACTGTTCTTTTGTGTTTTTTTGTTAGTTTAGTGCATTTTGTTACATTGTATTTCTATTTCAGAACTCAACAAGAACCCAGTGGAGGGCTTTTCAGCTGGCTTAATAGACGATGAGGATATATACAAATGGGAGGTTGTCATCATAGGGCCACAAGACACCCTCTTGTAAGTTAAGACATTTGAGAATGTCTGATTGTGAACATAGGTTGGTATTCCGAAAGAAGAGGAGTACATCTTTTAAAAGTATTCTGAGATGGGGATGATGACTGCTTTGCTTTCTCTGTTCTCTCCATTACAGCGAAGGAGGTTTTTTTAAAGCATACCTGACCTTTCCCTATGATTATCCTCTACGGCCTCCCAAGATGAAGTTAATCAATGAAATCTGGCATCCTAATGGTAAACACACTTAACACTTTATGAGCCCTACTAAACCTAGCGCCATAATATTTTATGTGTCTCCTACCATGTTTACTAATGTATATAATGACTTTTCATCTCTTCCTTATTGGCAAAGAATGGCGACGTATGTACAGTGGGGAGAACAAGTATTTGATACACTGCCGATTTTGCAGGTTTTCCTACTTACAAAGCATGTAGAGGTCTGTTATTTTTATCATAGGTACACTTCAACTGTGAGAGACTGAATCTAAAACAAAAATCCAGAAAATCACATTGTATGATTTTTAAGTAATTAATTTGCATTTTATTGCATGACATAAGTATTTGATCACCTACCAACCAGTAAGAATTCCGGCTCTCACAGACCTGTTCGTTTTTCTTTAAGAAGCCCTCCTGTTCTCCACTAATTACCTGTATTAACTGCACCTGTTTGAACAGGTTACCTGTATAAAAGACACCTGTCCACACACTCAATCAAACAGACTCCAACCTCTCCACAATGGCCAAGACCAGAGAGCTGTGTAAGGACATCAGGGATAAAATTGTAGACCTGCACAAGGCTGGGATGGGCTACAGGACAATAGGCAAGCAGCTTGGTGAGAAGGCAACAACTGTTGTCGCAATTATTAGAAAATGGAAGAAGTTCAAGATGACGGTCAATCACCCTCGGTCTGGGGCTCCATGCAAGATCTCACCTCATGGGGCATCAATGATCATGAGGAAGGTGAGGGATCAGCCCAGAACTACACGGCAGGACCTGGTCAATGACCTGAAGAGAGCTGGGACCACAGTCTCAAAGAAAACCATTTGTAACACACTACGCCGTCATGGATTAAAATCCTGCAGCGCACGCAAGGTCCCCCTGCTCAAGCCAGCGCATGTCCAGGCCCATCTGAAGTTTGCCAATGACCATCTGGATGATCTAGAGGAGGAATGGGAGAAGGTCATGTGGTTTGATGAGACAAAAATAGAGCTTTTTGGTCTAAACTCCACTCGCCGTGTTTGGAGGAAGAAGAAGGATGAGTACAACCCAAGAACACCATCCCAACCGTGAAGCATGGAGGTGTAAACATCATTCTTTGGGGATGCTTTTCTGCAAAGGGGACAGGATGACTGCACCGTATTGAGGGGAGGATGGTTGGGGCCATGTATCGCGAGATCTTGGCCAACAACCTCCTTCCCTCAGTAAGAGCATTGAAGATGGGTCGTGGCTGGGTCTTCCAGCATGACAACGACCCAAAACACACAGCCAGGGCAACTAAGGAGTGGCTCCGTAAGAAGCATCTCAAGGTCCTGGAGTGGCCTAGCCAGTCTCCAGACCTGAACCCAATAGAAAATATTTGGAGGGAGCTGAAAGTCCGTATTGCCCAGCGACAGCCCCGAAACCTGAAGGATCTGGAGAAGGTCTGTATGGAGGAGTGGGCCAAAATCCCTGCTGCAGTGTGTGCATACCTGGTCAAGACCTACAGGAAACGTATGATCTCTGTAATTGCAAACAAAGGTTTCTGTACCAAATATTAAGTTCTGCTTTTCTGATGTATCAAATACTTATGTCATGCAATAAAATGCAAATTAATTACTTAAAAATCATACAATGTGATTTTCTGGATTTTTGTTTTAGATTCCGTCTCTCACAGTTGAAGTGTACCTATGATAAAATTACAGACCTCTACATGCTTTGTAAATAGGAAAACCTGCAAAATCGGCAGTGTATCAAATACTTGTTCTCCCCACTGTATCTCAATTCTGCATGAGCCAGGAGAGGACAAGTTTGGCTATGAGAAGCCAGAGGAACGTTGGCTTCCAATTCACACTGTAGAGACGATTATTGTCAGTGTAATCTCCATGCTGGCCGACCCAAACAGTGATTCGCCTGCTAATGTGGATGCTGCGGTGAGTTGTAATAATAAATGTATTTAACACAGACTTTGTGTGTTACAATAGCCAAGTACATCCAAAACCTATGTCAAAGTGACAATGACAACTGTGCTATTGAGATTGTGAAATGGAGTTTGTGCTGTGGGTTCAAGAGAAAGGTGGCTCACTGTGTACAGAAAAGCCAGGAGATGGCATTTGACTAGAACCCAGACTCAATGACAAAGTTCTAGGGTGAGTAAGCAACATACACCTAGAATTAGGGTTTTACTCAGTCTTGTTGCTATTGAAAGGAATGCAGTCATTATTTTGTAATGTTGTGTTTTTCGTCTCTTCCATCCAGGTAAACGACATGGCTTCAGAAGGAAAATAGGCAGTTCAGCAAAAGGCTTTTGCACCCCTTCTTTTGCCATTCAAGAGATTTGGTTGGTCAGACACTTTCTTATTTTATTTTTTCTGAAAGGTCGTAAGAGGAATGAATGTGTGAAACCTACCAGCAAATATTTCCCTCCATTTCCTACCTGGGATTCGATATTAGTGTTTTTATTTTGGAAAAATATAGATTAGATTTAAAGTTTAATAGTCACATGTACAGGGTTGCAATGATGTAAGATGTCACTACTGTAAATTAACTTGATTTTATATCTGCTGCTGAACAGTTTTTGTACTTTATATCAGGTTTCTTATGCAATTTGTTTGTTGTGCTTGAAGAATTTAAAACACGTGAATGCCAGTTCTTCTCATTATTAGGTTCTCACCAAGTGTCCCATCCTCACAATCACCTTATATACAACTAATGATACATGCAATCATGTTCGTAGGTTCGCAGGTTGACTTGCTAACAAATTAGCTATGCTGGGATTGCTTACAAATGCATGTATTCATATGATTGGATGTGACATGGTGTACAATTTATGGTACTATGTAGGCTTTATGACTCATAAATTACCTTTTTCCTCTAGATTTGCTAACCTAATCACCTCCTCAGACCGTTAATCACTTTATTGCAGAAGAGACTCAGTGCATTTAAAACATTGAAGCAATAAACTCAGATAATCTCAATGGTGTTTATCCAGGTAATCCTGATATCTCACCTTAACCCCCTTGTTTGTTGTTTTTAACAATTTGTTTATCCAATGTGTATTTGACATGAGCTCAATAAAATGTGTTAACTGTCATATACTTTTGGTCTTTTTGTTTTACCTATTTAGTTGTATTTATCTAGTGTTAGTCTAATCGGATGGCAAGTGATTAAATGGCAAAATTACTTTTAGATAACCTTGTCTAGTCTGCGCTGGATCCGCCCCATGGACTGACATTCTCTCCTGGTCACGCGACCATGGCTCTGTAAGCTTGGTACTTGTAACCACTAATATAAAAATTGACCTCGATTTGTTACAAAGTAACAAAATCATGAAAAAACAGGTTATGTTTGTCGAGGAAATAAGAAAAGGAATTTGTCTGATTAAAACGCAGTGGTAGCCACATTTTAGCAACAAGGTAGGCTTGCAAAAATAGCAAATTGTATGCTTCTGTAATGAATGGTAATTAAATTAATTCATATCTATAGACCTGTTTTAATGACTTGTTATTAGAGCTTTTCTAATATTGCCTTCAATGTAAACAACAGGTCAAGTTTCTATTTCATTGTTGTAGGTCTGCAGAGTCCAATAACATGTAGAATCATAAATATGGGTATGTACAGCCTGCTGGTTGTTGAACTTATGCATTGTTTGCATTGTTCGAAACTATAGGCTGTTTTGTGAGTCGAAAATTCAATGTGAAACGGTCCTCTGTTGACCAAGACCTGAAATATAATGGCCTGCATGTGGTGTAATAGAAAGCACAGAAGCCAAGCGGTAGGCCTATAGGAGTCCATATCTTTTCAAATTGTCTTTTGGGGCGTATCTAAATGTTAGTTAAATGTTAATTTGGTGAATAAATCTATTTAACACTTAATGATTGAGTTAATAGCCTTCACATTAACATGTTACTCAATCAAAAATGAAAACGTAAACATTGTGTGATTCATTCAGATCGTAGGCCTCATTAACACGCCTATCTACAGTGCATTCGGAAAGTATTCAGACCCCTTGACTTTTTCCAAATTTTGTTACGTTACAGCCTTATTCTAAAATGGATTTTTTTTAAATAATCCTTGTCTACACACAATACCCCATAATGACAAAGCAAAAACAAGTTTATAAAAAAAAACTAAAATATTTAATTTACATAAGTATTCAGACCCTTTATTCAGTACTTTGTTGAAGCACCTTTGGCAGCGATTACAGCCTCAAGGCTTCTTGGGTATGACGCTACAAGCTTGGCACACCTGTATTTGGGGAGTTTCTCCCATTCTTCTCTGCAGATCCTCTCAAGCTCTGTCAGGTTTGATGGGGAGCGTCAGGTCTCCAGAGATGTTCGATCGGGTTCAAGTCCGGGCTCTGGCTGGGCCACTCAAGGACATTCAGAGACTTGTCCCGAAGCCACTCCTGCATTGCCTTGGCTGTGTGCTTAGGATTGTTGTCCTGTTGGAAGGTGAACCTTCGCCCCAGTCTGAGATCCTGAGCGCTCTGGAGCAGGTTTTCATCAAGGATCTCTCTGTACTTTGCTCGGTTAATCTTTCCCTCAATCCTGACTAGTCTCAGTCCCTGCCACAGTTTGGCCGGGCGGCCAGCTCTAGGAAGAGTCTTGGTGGTTCCAAACTTCTTCCATTTAAGAATGATGGAGGTCACTGTGTTCTTGTGGACCTTCAATGCTCCAATTGTTGGTACCCTTTGCCAGATCTGTGCCTCGACACAATCCTGTCTCGGAGCTCTACGGACAATTCCTTCGACCTCATGGCTTGGTTTTTCCTCTGACATGCACTGTCAACTGTGGGACCTTTTTTAGGCAGGTGTGTGCCTTTCCAAATCATGTCCAATCAATTGAACTGACCACAGGTGGACTCCAATCAAGTTGTAGAAACATCTCAAGGATTATCAATGGAAACAGGATGCACCTGAGCTCAATTTCGAGTCTCATAGCAAAGGTTCTGAATACTTATGTAAATGTGATATTTCCATTTTTTAAACAAACATTTCTACAAAACAGTTTTGGGGGTATATGGGGTATTGTGTGTAGATTGATGAGGAATTGTTTTATTTAATACATTTTAGAATAAGGCTGTAACGTAAAACAAATTGTGGAAAAAGGGTAGGGTTCTGAATACTTTCCGAATGCACTGTATATGACAGACACTGAGCATGTGTATAAGGAAACAAAACACCAGGGTGGAGACGCATAGGACAGCACATTTCAAGGTCTCTGACAACCAGCAGGTGAAAACCATACCAAGTCCATGGTGACTGCATCATTTCTACAGGTAACATGTCAGCAAGTTCTTTGCCATATACCAAAATGAATATATTACTCAATTGAAATGTAGTGTTATACAAAATATTGTAATCATGTTCCAGCATCCAACCCTCACAACTGGACAAAAACGATATCTCTACAGCATTGCAAATGTCTACAGCACCGAGCACAAGAAGACTGATGAAGCAACACTATCTTAATGTGCTGCATAGGTGTACGACTAGGTGAAAAATCTGTCGATGTGCCCTTGAGCAAGGCACTTAACCCTAATTGCTCCTGTAAGTCGCTCTGGATAAGAGCGTCTGCTAAATGACTAAAATGTAAATGTAAATGTATTAAATCAGGTGTGTTGTAACTGTATTTACTTTAAAATGAAATATGGACCAACTATTGCCCATCTTTCATTAAATATTTTCCCTCAAGGTCATAGCTCTTTGGATAGAACCAGAACTACTACTGGATATCCACTACTTAAAGCTCACATTAAAGATGGACAATGAGCGAGATTCTGGATCTAGGATCAAGCCATATGGACAGAGGAAGGGCACCACAGTGCACTCTAAAGTTATCATCTCAAAGATTGCCAACAGTCACAGTGCAGAGAGAAGATGGCATTTGAAATAATTATATTGAAGTCAGTTCGACATTTAATTAATCTGACAATGTATTGAGCTGTAGTATAATATTGAACATTTCAAAATAGTTTCATTCTCCTTATTGGTAAATTAATTTGAGTCCCAACAGCGGTGTGTCTCATACTTCTAGTGACAGGTATCACCAAAACACATGACCTGGGTTTCCAGGAGAGTGAAGCTCTGCAAGCAGTGTTTCCTTCTTACCTCTGCCCCAACATCCTGAAGGCCCTGGCCAGGTGAGCTCCCATAACATACCCCAATCTATCTCCTCATGTGACATTTATGAAGAGTGATTCAGATACCGTCTAAGAAGTATATGATGATTGTTTATTTAATAATTTACATTTGTATTATCTATTATAATTGTATTACATTTCTATTATTATTTTGGGCCAGACTTATAGGCGACATGGTGATGCACTTCCCAGTGTCTCAGGAGGAGATCACTCTGTCCATGTCTCCGCTGAGAGTCAATCTGAAAAACTACTTTGAAGAGGAAAGTGGTGAGATTCTGCACATTTTAGTCATTTAGCAGACACTCTTATCCAGAGCGACTTACAGTTAGTGAGTACATAATATATATTTTTTTTCATACTGGCGAACCCACAACCCTGGCGTTGCAAACGCCATGCTCTACCAACTGAGCTACACGGGGCCACAGTATGACAAACATACAAACATCAGCAACATATTGTGCATGCCTAACTCCTCATTGTTTTGGGTACAGATCGAATGAAGGCCATGCACACTGAGATGTCTTTAGATCCTACTTCCAGGTTGGAGTTGACTCAGACATAACCTTCTGTCTGAAGGAGCTGAGGGTAAGGGGGTTATTTTAGGAAGGTCCTTAATTTTCTGTCACATGAGCTTGTGAATATAGGGTGAGTCACTATCTGTTCTTGCATACCCAGGGTTAATTCATTTTTATTTACTGCACTGAATAATGAATAATTTTAAATGGAATCTTTCCGTCCTGGGTGAGATTTTGTTTTACGACCCTAATGAATCAAGTTATAATATGATATGTTTTTTTCTGCACGTTGGGCAGACCGTACCACCCTCTGGAGAGCCCTGCTGTTGCGGGCGATGATACAGGCCGTACCAGGCGGTGATACAGGCCGACAGGATGCTCTCAGTTGTGCATCTGTAAAAGATTCTGAGAGTCATAGGGGCCAAGCTGAATTTCTTCAGCCTCCTGAGGTTGAAGAGGT